CACATTTGAAGGAACACAGAATACTTTATAAACAGCTTGCAAACAACAGAATTGAGTACCCTTGCGTCTGGAAGGAGGGCTGTACCCAAATGTTGTGCAACAACAGCAGCAGTGATGAAGAGTTTTGCTTAAACTTTAACATTTGTGCTACGCAAATAGAACCTTTGGGTTTAAGGTTTAGTGTCTCATTCAAAAGAGTCCTTTATCTTCCCACCACCTCCCCGCACTTCTATTTTCTTTCCGCAAAAGGGAAATGGCTGCATTGGTAGCAGATATGGACATATTTTAAAAACTCAATCCACTTACTAAGTTTATTCCGCTTACATTAGGACTGACTCTGCAGTGCCTTTAAACTGGGAGCCTCTGCTGACTGAACAGGCTTAATATGAGTAACAGGATATGAAACTCCCCAACATGTGTGCTTTACACAGCAAATAAAAAAAAAATCCTTAAGAGAAGGACTATTAAATGAGCAACTTACCACATGCTGCCATGCCCCACTGCCTGCAAGCCATGATTGCAGAGAGATTGATCGATGACGGAGTGTTTAGAATTTGAGTCAATCCTCTGCTACTGGTATCCTCCTCCTCAGATGGGAGACCCTTCTACACCCTTGATCAAGGGGTGACAATATATTACCGTTTTGCTTCTGTCTCTCCAAAATGACATTTGGTACGTTCCCATGCCAGCGCAAATCCCATAAGCTTGCACAACTTCAGCTGTGCGCCAAGACCATTGCAGATGGAAAGCATGGGGGCAGCCAGGGTAGCCTGAAAACACAGCATTTCTATTTGGTTCATTTTTTTTAACCCTCCTACAAGAATTTGCTGTGACCATAGCATAGCAACATGTAACAAGAAACCAATATCCCGTAGCACAGTGGGTACAGTTGGATGATACAATAGTGCATCTATTAAAGTAGAATCTTTCATACGAACTAAATTCCTTCACAGAACTGAATATAATTAGAGAAGGAGAAAAAGCATAGCAAACGAATTGGAACATGACAAGATCTACAATGGGATTAGCTGTTTTCAGTTGTGGCTTGAGAGAGGGCTAATGAAATGGGAGAAAACAGGGAGACTTTGCCAGATGTCAGACACTGCCAAAAAGCAGGCTCCTTGAACAACAGCAAGATGATGTAGAAAGACACAGGAGAGAGATGCTAGAGAAAATGAGGTAAGAATAAATGCAGGGTTTGAGAGATGGCAATCTTAATCTGGGTACTGAGATATGCAGGAAGCCAGAAGAATTGTTTGGGGCATGTGAAAAGGCAAGCAGCACCAAAGTAAACATAATGGAATCTGAAAAGCTAGCACTTGATCAGTGAGAAAAAGTTACGTAATTATAACAGTACACAGCCATAAAGACAGACTTGGGATAGCGTATTCTAGATGCGTATGTACACGCACTCTCTCTACATACAGGCAAAGAGAGCATCCAAACCTGAACTCAATCACACTGGTATAAGTGCTAGGTAACTCCAATAAATTCAAAAAAGTTACTTGCATCAGCATGACAACATATTAAAGTCCTTCGTAAGTGCTTTCAGTAAAAATATTAGATTTTCTTCAAGCAGTACTGTGTATGTGTCTACCCACACACGTCGTATCTATAACATTGACAGAGGTCTAGATTACACGTATACACACACACATTGCACTTGCATTGCATTTATACATTACATATAGAGCCGTGTGTGTCTGTGTCATTTATAACACTGACAGAGGTCTAGATTACACCGCCTATGCGTGCACCCGTTGAGGACAGTACTATCTTATGGTGGAGTACTTTACTGTGCCGAAACACATATGTATAGACAGTGACCAAGGACATAAGTGCCCAGGCAGCTCATCCAGCCAGGGCCCTGCTCTGCATCAGCTCAAACTGCTGCTGTACCGGGCACATATGTAGACACTGTGCTGAGATAAGTTAACCCTGGCTCAAAGTGCTCCAGAGTTTGTTTCACATTAATTGCACATGTAGATGCACAGAGAGCTTGTTTTTTCTCTGTTGTGGATGGTGCTTTAATACTGCGTTCTCATGTATCAATGAAAGTTGTAGAAAAATAAAATCTTGCACATAACTCTATAGTGTTGCCCATTAGAGTAAGAAAAAAATATGGAACTCTGTCTCTTTTGCTTTTTTCCCATAGATTATAAATGCAAACCTGTTTCTGTGCAGGCTCAAGCTGTGCTCTTTGTGTAACAGCATCACAACCAATAAAATCTGCATATCAGATTTAGAATGGTAATTTTGTTAATGATGCACAGAGAACACAGTTTACTCTTCTACAGCTATAATCACTACAGAGAAAATGCAGTAATAAAAATGTGTTTTCCAAGCTATGATTCGAGAGACAGGAAGCGGATATGAGCAGTAGTAATGGTGCCATTTTTATGGAGTCGCTCTGACCACATCAGCTTTTTCTGTATGGATCTTGTCAAGGTCCCAAAATGAATTCCCTCCTACACATTAAAATCTAATTTTGCAAAAGATCTTTTAAAATAAGTTAAAAGTTTGTAGAGGACCTATGGTCTCGGTCAACCCAGCTTAATTGCCAAGTCAACAACACCTACTCATATACTAATGTTACCTTTCTGCCAGGCTTATCATGAGAATCAGCAGCAGCAGCTGTTAGAGTGGTGCCCTGCACACAGTATTCTCAGTGTTAAGGATGATGCAAGTTCATTGATGGCTTCAGATGGAAACAATCCACGAAATGGACAAGAATCCAGAACTAAATTTCCCAAGCATGGGAGGGAAGATGGAAATCTGAATCTTAAATCTGAATGCCTGTATAAATAGGTAAACCAAAACAGAATACTAGAACAAAGCTGTGACTCCCGCATTCTGAAGTGTGGAAATGGAAGTGAATTACACATTTGGATTTCATGGCATAAGGTCCAACTCCTTGAGAAATTCGTAACTACTCTGCAATGATTTAAAGTTCTGTCAACTGCTGACAGAAGAGAAGTTGGAGACATCAGAATTCTAACAAAGAAATACATTTTAAATGGTTTGTTAAACTATAGTGTTTGCTTGTTAGGTATCCAATGCTGCTTTTACTTTCTGAAGGTGTTTCCCCATCACCACTTGGTTTCCTGGCAGTTGCTTTGTGAGGAAGCTCTGCAAGCATTAGATGCATTTTTGTTTTTTGGGGAAGGAAGGAGAAACTTACATTCCCTTTTTAATTCTGTATTTAAATAAAGTGAGTGGTGGGGCAGTGGGAAGGAAAGCTCTTTACTTTGAGTGATTCAAGTCTGTCTGGATCCAAGAGCAACTTTTATAAAACCAGTTTCAGGGGGAAATGCAGCATCAACACACAACCCAAGTCAAGCAGTCAAGTATAGAACCATATCAGAGAAGTCAGGATAGAACTTGCTTTTACATTATCATTTCAGAAAGTAAACCTTATAAACAAATGTGCTTCCTTGGATGAGATGCTAAACTCAGAGCATCCACAACTTTCCATGTGAAAGTTACCCTGAGAATGCATATTTAAGTTTACTGAGTGACAAGGAGGATGAAGTTGACTCTTGATATGACATGTTTATCCAAGAACTGAATTGCCAAATGCCCTCCCATAAATATTCTACTTACCAGATACTGTCATCTGTAATCATTACTACATGGGGTTCCTGAACTAAGATTGCATAGACATGCATTAAAATAATACCTTGAATCTGACTACAATAAAATATTAATGTGAATAGACTTTTATATTTAATTCTCTGGAGAGACAGGAAGTTGGTCCATACGTCACTGAGCAGGAACAGTGGAAATGCCACCCTTGGTGCACTTGAGGCCAGCACTCTGGAAAATCCCTGCAAGAGCTAATCCCTGTTGAAGGGGATTGATAAGAGATGAGGTGAAGTCACAAGGACCTGGCCTTCACTAAAACAAGTGTTAACACATTTTTCCTAATGAGGTCAACATGCATGTGTTAGGAATGCTACCAAGGGAAAGGAAAGAATTGCTTCAGTGAAAGGAAAACCTGTGCAAAATGGGACATACTGTATCTTTATAGTACTGGTAGCCTAATTGCAGATTTTTGCTTGGGAATGCAGGTAATGTCTCATTATAAACCTTCATCTTGCACATGGTCTTTGCAGTACTTCACTTAATCAGGGCTTATATAGATGAACATCTAAATCAGAAATCCAGCTCTTGAACAACATAGCAATGCCTGGATGATATTAGTGCCTGTCCAATTCATACACTGTTCATTTCCAACCATTTTCTTTACAGGTTCTTACAATATTCTTACTGATGTGGATGCTACATATCAGGGGTATCATAACTCAGCTGCCTCCATGGGTCAGATGAATGGCATGAGGCTGGTCTGTGAGATACACTTGGGCCAACAGATTGACCCTGCATGCCAGACCCAGCACCTGTCATGGAGCAGCTGAACTGGGTCCTGCACGTGGTGCATGTCCCAGATGGACTGTTCTAGTACCTCACTGAATGTGGCACCCACTCTAGCATGCATCTACTCCATGCCAGATTCAGTGCACATCCTGGAGCAGCCAAAGTGGACACCGTGTGCAGCATGGTCCCAGACAAGTCACTCTGGGACTGCACTGTACACAGCCCAACCCAGGGCCATGTTGCATGTGATGTCTGCTCTTGGTGTTCCAGAATGCTCCTGCACAGAGCAGATGTGTGCTGGAACAGGTACTGGGTACAGTGCAGTGCACTCCCAGAGCAGCTTGACTGGGCACCACATATGCTGCACGGGGCCAGCTGGTGCATTCTGCATGCTGCCTGTGTGTCCACTTGAGACCCACTGGGGGCTAGATGATAAGGCTCTATGTGCCAGATCCAGTCCACAGACCATATCTTTGATACTTCTGCTATAGTTAATCTAATCTGTCATCTGTAGATTTATTAGAGCTGTTAACCACATACTACAAAAACTGATTCAGAACTCAGATTTAAAGAGAGAACTTTTAGTCTGAAATTTAAGATGCTTGGTGTTTTAGAGTAGTGTTTACCTGATATCATCTTCTTTTAGTTTCCTGGCTGCCTGTTTGGACAGCTTAATCTGCAAGTCCAGTCTCTGTAGAAAATCTTTGGCAGACAGTTCTTCAGGTGCAGCAGGCCGACTGTCAGATTCTTGAGGACTGGGAGAAGAACTACTGTCTTCCTGAACTGTCACTGGTCCTTCATCACATGAAGGGGAACTGTCAATAGTTTCATTTTCAGGAGATTCCAGTGAATTGAGTCCATTAAACAGTAACGGCTTCTCTGATATAACTGGAATATTCAAGGTTTTCCTCAGAAATATACAGTCATTAGTAAATAGTTTATTTGCCCGTTTTATCTGTTCCATCTGAAAAAGATAAAGGAAAAGGAATTAAATTGAAATAAATACCACTGATTTCTGTAAAGTACAAAATATGCCACCATCCTAAGCAGTATACCATACTAGTCTAACCTTGTTAATCAAAGACTTTTTTTCTTGCAACAATTATTTTCTTCCTTAAGAAAGAAGCTGGTGAATTTAGAACATCCGTTTTCAAATTATATTGTCTTGTCCTTGTAAAATCAGCCTTTTAGCTTTTGCTCCCTCCTCTTTATGTGTTTCTAGGCTTTATGATATCAGAAGTCTCCCTAAGGGTACACTTTGCACTACATAAAGAAGCTTTTCTTTGACTTTAGTCTTCCTTTCCCTTCGTGGGTCAGAATTTCTTTATTTAGTAGGAAATAACAAATATTGCTGCAAAGCAGAGTTGTTTTGTGTGTCTACTGCAGGCAAGCTGGGAGAGAAACTTGCAGATGGCTGTCCAAGCAAATTACTTTGAACTAAAGTGCGATTAATCCCAGCATATGAAGGTCTGTAGAGTTTCACTAAGATGAGCTCTGTAATCAGGTGCACGGTCCAATAGGACTCATGAACAGTAAACCCCACAGGCTTTGTGGGAGCCAGATAAGTTAGGTCTGTGTTACTTCCCATTGTGGGGTCCTAAATTTGGCTCCCTATGTTGTGAACAATGTTACTAATAGCTTGGCTGGCCAAAAGAAGCAAAAACAGTTTTACAGCCTGATCAGCAGCTATATTCTTTAATTTTAAATAACAAACATATATGAGCATCAAAGATAAAGTAAGTGCCAGTTTTTAAGTGTTTTTAATAAGAGGCATTGCCTGAAGGTGCTTCATCTTGATTCAAGAAACCCAGTCATTAGATGGTACTCTGAGTGACAGCCCACCTCTCTCTCTAAGTATTACTGGTTGTGTCCCATGTATTCTGCAACTGTTGAATCTGCCATGACCATGCAAATAAAGAATTCAACCTGGTTGGGCTAACAGGACTTGGTGGGATCCTACCCACGACTGGGCAGTGGACACTGAGGGCTACAGGCTGTACAGACAGGACAGAGTGGGGAAAAAAGGAAGGAAGCGTTGCTCTCTATGTTAAGGAGCAATATACATCTTCTGTAGTTAAATTGGGCCAGGAAGAAGGGCAAACTGAGATACTATGGGTCAGGTTACAGGGGGGTCGGGGTTAAAGGGACTTGGTAGCTGAGGCCTCGAGACAGCTCTCAGAGGCAGCACACTCAATGTCATCATGGGTGACATTAACTTCCCAGACATCTGCTGGGAAAAATGGGCACGAAAGTTTCTAACCTCCTTACAGGACCTTCACCTACTGCAGGAGGTATGCATTCTCACTAGGGGAAATGCCTTACTAGACTTGATACTGGCCACAGGGGACAACTTGGTGAGAGATCTGCAGGTGCAGGGTAACCTAGAGGATAGTGACCACCTATTGATAGGGTTCACAATCTGGAGAAAGGTGGGGAAAATAACTAGCAGGGCAGAAGTGCTAGACTTCAGGAAGGCCAACTTCAACAAGCTCAGGAGATTAGTTAGGGAGGGACTGACTGGTAAAAGCCTTGGAGAGATGGGAGTCCAGGAAGGGTGGGCATTTCTCAAAGGACTAATCCTGCAGGCACAGAAAAGGACCATCCCAGTACACATAAAAGGGGGCAAAAAAGCAAAGAAACCCTCTTGGTGGAGCAGGGAAATCCAGGAGAGCCTGGAGGGGAAAAAAGAGGCCTACAGGCTGTGGAAGCAGGGGGCTGCCACCAAGGAGGAACATACCTGCTTGGCTCGAGCTTGCAGGGAAACAGTGAGGAAAGCCAAAGCAGAAATGGAGCTTAGGCTGGCAGCAAAAGTTAAGGATAACAAAAAGTCATTCTTTAAGTACGTAGGAAGCAAAAAGAAGGTGCAAGATAACTTAGGGCCCCTTCAGGATGAACTAGGGCAACTGGTAACAGACAGGACAGCCAAAGCAGAACTTCTAAATGATTTCTTTGCATCCGTGGTCCTGGACTCAAATACAAAATATGCATCCCACTGGGACTTTCGGTAAGCCCAGGATAGATACCAACCCACCAACTGTTTGTGCTGACCTAGTAAAAGGGCAGCTGGAGCGGCTGACTGTATTTAAGTCAACAGGCCCTAATGATCTTCATCCTACGGTACATAGGGAATTAGCTAGGGTCATAGCGGAACCGCTGGCACAACTGCCTGAGCACTCGTGGCACCCAGGATAGGCCCCAGAGGATTGGAAAAGGGCCACTGTGGTCCCTATTTTCAAGAAGGGGAGGAAGAAGTAAAGCTAACCGCACCCTTTCTTGCATAAGTAGGTGCATCATGAACAGGTCTAGGGAGGTGATACTTCCCTCTATGCAGCATTGGTGAGGCCACAGCTGGAGTACTGCGTCCAGTTTTGGGCGCCGCACTTCAGGAGGGATGTGGATGGCCTGGAGAGGGTTAAGAAGAGGGCCACTCATCTGGTTAAAGGCCTACAGAAAAAACCCTATGTGGACTGACTGGGAGACCTGAACCTTTTCAGCCTCCGCAAGAGGAGGCTGAGAGGTGATCTCGTGGCCACCTACAAACTCATGGGGGGGGCAGCAAGAAATAGGGGATACAATGTTTACCAGGACACTTGTCACTGTAACTAGAAATAATGAACACAAACTGAAAGAGAGCAAATTCAGATTGGACATCAGGAGAAAATTCTTTACAGTGAGGGTTGCCAAAATATGGAATACACTTCCAAGGGAGGTAGTGCTGTCCCCATTCTTGGAGGTGTTTAAAAGGAGATTGGACAGACACCTGGCTGGGGACATCTGACCCCAGCACTCATTCCTGCCCAGGGCAGGGGGTCGAACTCGATGATCTAATAGGTCCCTTCTGACCCTAACATCTATGAAACTATCACTCTTACCCCCAATGCAGTCAGGCTTTATAACCTGAGCGTTCATATTTTTCCATCTAACCCTAGAGCCTTACACATAAACAAAGAGCAAGCCACTGCAATGATGTCTGTAGGGAGCTTGAAATGAGGCAGTTCTGAGAGTGGTGAACTATCAATTGGATCCCCATGATTCCATGGCTGTGAAAATACTGGGGAAATGAGCACTTCTGCAGAGGGATATGACAGTCCACTGCAGCCAGACGTGTGACATTTAGTTTTACTCCCTTGCCCTGTCAGGACCTGCCTGCAGCTGCCCCTTGCTCTCCTCATGTAGACGGGCAAATGGATTATACCAGACATCCTCCACTGTTCTGTGCAGCCAGGCAGTGGGAATTAAGGAGCCAGAGCTGGAGTTGAGAGAACATGGCAGCAGCTGAGGCCCCAGACTGTGTACGGATTCAGACAAATATGATACAGTATGTGGAATGGCCTATGGTTGCTTTATGCTGGAAGCTTTTACAGTCACTCTTCAGGCAAGTAGAAACTCTAGTCTCAGACTAATAAGCATGCTTGCAGAGGGTACTTATATATTCATTCAGAAAAGGTCCACCCACACAAGTCATAGCCAGTAAAATTCAGTTTTACTTTGATGTATTTGTTGAAATCCTAAAGGAATTGAGAGGACCCAGACTTGCAATACTGTGAAGTCCCAGCGCTCTGATTAGATTACTGCAATAATTTATATAAATCCCCCAAATTCCTGATAGTGCTAAGAAAATGTCCTAATTTACTGCAAAGAAAGACACATTCCTGATGACTGGAATGAGCAACATATGTTCCCATAGCTACATAACTAAAATAACAAGTGCATACTATAAAAGCGTACTTGAAAACAAGTATGGGGGGGAAGTGGGAAGACACTGTTTGTAACAGCATACCATTCACCATCCTATTTTAAGAAAAATGGAGAAAGCAAGCTAAATTGGATACAAATAAATCATTCCTGCAAATTCTATAATAATGGTGTGCACTTAATCTAACTGCCCAGAGTGAATCAAAAACTCTCCCTGGCAACTGCTATCCACTTCTGTAGAATTTTAGCTTTTGTTTAATTTTTTTTTCTAGCCCTTCTGGTCATATAGAAAGCTTACAAAAAGTAATCTGAATCTTAACTGCTGCATCAGTCTGCTCATAGCACTGATGCCTCTGTTGCTCAGGTTTTTCTAAGGTGCAGAAGAATGCCTCAGGCTCTTGTTTCAGGGGTGTAGGTTGTAGCCGTATTGATCTAAGGCAGGGGTTTTCAACCTTTTTAAAATCAAAGTATCCCTGGTGGCTGGACATGGAAAGTGGGGAGAAGGAGGCACCACCACCTCCCAGGAGCAGGGCCGGTAAGCTCACCAGGCTGGGGTGAGGGCAGCAGTGCCCCTCTGTGGGGCAGGGAAGATCACTGGGCTGGTGGGTGGCAGCAGTGGCCACGGTGTGTGAGCTTCCCCACCCCACAGAGGGGCGTGGCTGCCCCTCGCCCCCGCCCCGGTGCTGCTCCTGGTTGGCAGTGGCACACCATCCCCGCCCGCCTACCCACACGTACCCCCTGGGATCATTTCAAGTACCACAGTTGACAACCCCTCGTCTAAGGACATAGGCAGACAAGGTTCTTTGGGTAAATCCAATATCTTTTATTAGACCAACTCAAATAGTTGGAAAAATTTGTCTTAGCAAGCTTTCAGACACAAACCTCCTTCATCAGGCTGAGGAAGCATCTGCAGATGGTCTTTACTACTGCAGATGCTTCCTCAGCCTGACGAAGGGGGTTTGTACCCGAAAGCTTGCTAAGATTAATTTTTCCAACTATTTGAGTTGGTCTAATAAAAGATATTGGATTTACCCAAGGAACCTTGTCAGGCTCTTGTAGAATTTCCATGGCCTTCAAATGGAAATTGTTGCGAGTAGGTACTCGTGGGACCTAGGAATTGAGGGGAGCCTGATGAGGCATGTTTTAAAAAAATTAAAAAGGACTTTCTAGAGTGGGGAGGTAAAGCACAGTAGAAAAACTAAAAAGTATAAA